CTACCTGTAGTATATACTAAACCCATCTGGCCTCCACCCACCCACCCACCAACTGGGCTTCTGTTGTACGTTTTGCTATCCTACGTCCGCACTTAATGCTTTGTTCTCTGATGATACACAAAGCTCGCTCTAAACTGGTAGGTATTTTCAAAAATACCCTTATCTCTTCCTCAAACGATAAACCTCGACGACGGGACATCATAAATCATAACTCATAACTCATAACTCACAACTCATAACTATAGTATATAATACACACTACATCCACAAACTAAACTGAAGAAAACATACTATGGGTGAAGCTAAAAAATGTTCTTTTGAATCGTCATCAATTTGTCTCTCGCAACACAAACATTTTTATTTTGTTATATTTGTTATTTTATTCTTTGGAAGGGAAATATATTTTCAATTTGTGGATGATAAAGCTGGGGGGAAATCGAGCAAGAAAATTAAATGTTTAAGTGACAAATGCATTGAACGAAAAAAAAAAAAACAAAGTTTTGAAGAACCTACAATGGAAAAAAAATTACTTTGATTCACGAGAAAAACTCTTGAAACAAGAACAATTTCTTGGTTTAGAAATTTTTCCACTTGACTCAAGATAATGTTGATAAATATTTATACCGTTGAATAAAAACTGAACATAAGAATTTAACTTTAACACTTTTTATAACCCTACAACTTTAATACAAATTCTATCAGATCAAAAAACATTGATAATTGTATTTATAAAAAAAAGAGAAAATAAAATGAATAATAATAAAAAATTGGTTCTAATAAATTACTCTAATATTTGTCAACTATTAATAAATATTTAATAACTGTCAGTAAATGCACTTTTATCTCAAAAAATATTTTTTAAATGTTAACAAATATTTACTTTTATTTAATTATTATCAATAAATTAATACATTGTTTACAAACAAATGAATTTGTTAATAATTAATAAATTTCTCCATCAGTGTCATAAGAAAATAGTTTTTCTCACAAATTTTTAGAACAAGAGTTTGATTTGTCGGTGAAAAGTCATCAATTAAATCAATCGACATTTAAAAGTAAGAGTTTCAAAGTAATATAAAAAGAGGGAGCAATACCCGGGTTACTTTTCTCAGCTATCCGGCTGATCTTAACTCCGTCGGATAATTACTAATTATCGATTGACAGAGATAGTTCTGGGATAAGGAATAGCCTTCGTAAAGTCCCGTCGCCTTCTCTGGCACCTACGGAATCCACTGACTACTGACTACTGACTACTCGGTATCCTCTAATTAGATTCTCTCATCCTCTTTATCCGTCTCTACTCTGCTCTACCTATATACTGTCTGACTTCTGCAGCTCTGTCGCGCCTTCTTGCCACCTTAGAATTCTCTCAGAAGTCCACAACAACAAGTACAACTACAAATACAGGCCCAACAACCGAAACCATTCACATTCTATTCGTTAAGCAGAGGATGCATCGCCGCAGTACTGAACTGTTTAATTTTCACGCTCGCTGAATTTAGCTCAGTTGTCGCTCGCTTTTCTACTGTTTTCGATGCAGTGTACTAGAGAATAATAAAATAAAAAGTTGAATTTTCAATCCTAGTTTTTATTATCTACCATCTGACTACACTCTGATAAGAATAACTTGCCGACATTTAATTACATTTTTAAAAGTTAGGTAGGTTAATTACATTAAAAAGTTTTTAATTTTCAAACAGAAATTGAAATGTACAGCTTAATAATTTTTAAAAATTTTCATTTTTTTAACAATTTATTGACCTCAAATGTATTAAAATTATGAAGCTATATAAAGAACAAAAAATTAAAATGTCAATGTAAAAATTGTGTTTAAACTTGATAATAATTAATGTAAAGACCATATAAATCGGTAAAATAATCATTTAAGAAATTATTATTATTATTATTCTTATTATTATCATTATTATTATTAATTGTTTTTTTAATATAAGAGAAATGTTTGCATAAGATGCAAACATTTATTCTGTATAATGTCTAACCTTTTATTTAGAAAATTGACCGTGAGTGAAAATATCATCGATGCGATGATGACAAGATAAATATTACGCAAGACTCGTTTCAGAATGTAAGTATTATTTAAAAGGTCATAACCAGGATGGAACCAGAACTTTATACCTCTGCTGGAGGATTATGCATGGTATTTACGAGACACATTATTGTTTAACGTACGCTGTTAATAATGCATCGGATCTTTTATAGCAGCGCGCATTTAACATGAGTGTATCCATCGCAATACGGGGAATTCATTTTTAATCCACTGATGTTATACTCCTACTACTACTGCTGCTTCTGATGGGTTATAGACAACCAAGTAAAATATAAATGTACATAATCATTGGCCAATAACCAATCTCCTATTCGTGGATAAATTATCAATCCCATCACTAAATAACTGACAAATTAACTCTGATTGGATTTATTGTTATGAAATACACCAGCTATAAATGAAAACTGCTAAATTTAGTCGTTTAATATTGTAAATATTTCAAATAGTTAGATTTATTAGTTTCACAAACAAATAAATTCGTTTTTTGGTGCTTAAAAATACAGAAAATAATAAACGGAATGGAATGAAATTAAAAAAAAAAAATTTAGTGCAAAAATAGTTAGTTAATTATCGCAGTAAGGAAAATTTATTGAAAGTTTATTGTCAAAATTCCGCTTGTATAGTGTTTGCAGAGAGAAACGAGAGTGCCTAGATGTACGCTAGAATGAATTCACTCTTTCACATTAGTATTTGACTGTTTTCGTGAGTAGCACACATGTATCTACTCCAGTGAGTTGAGATTCGCGTGAACAAGTCGCAAACTACATTATTCTCAATTTCTCAAATTCCCGGGCGTACGTCGCCAAGCTCCTGCAAGTACGTCGAGAATGTTGTCTAAAATATATACAACCTGTGTACTATACATATACATATTTACATATATACACATACGTATTCATAGTTTTTTTTATCCCTGGTTACCTCTTTTTGAAATTTTTATCTTATGCTTTTTTTGCCCCCGTATTTCAGGGAGCTGAAACACTTGGGCGATAGAAAATAGTTGAAATAGCTGCTGGAAAATTTTTTAAACAATGTTTACTACGAAGAATATTTCTATTCCGACACAAAAATGTTACGTTGTAACGTTAAATTATTATTAGTAATTAGATAAAATTATTTTCGCTTATGAAAAATTCAAGGAATATCTTGGAGGAAAGAATTCACAGTGAAAAAAAGTTTTACAAATGAAATGTTTGAGAATAAAACTTGAAAAGAACTTTAAGTATTTAATCATACTTTTAATTTTTGACAGGCATGAGAAGATAAAGGTGTAAAGGTATCCATTAGTTAAAATAAATATAAATTTTACAAAACAAAGCAAAATAAAAAATAAAAAAGATAGGAAAGAAAAAACATAAAGATTTATTCCGACATTTAAATTCATAAATTTATTATGAAGAAATGAGTCACACAATTCCCAGGACTGTAACTCAGCATAATATCTTAATTTAACACCTTGCTAAGACAAGCGAAATTCATTTAATTATGCAGAATACGTCTCTCTCTCTCTCTCGCTCTATTCGAAGCTGTTTTTTATTTTATTCAACTTCAGATACTTAGGCGTTTGTTTTGTTGGCATCGACGTGCTGAAAATAGTCGAGTTTCGGCTCATGAACATACGCGTGTCTCGAATTTGGTGGACGAACCGCCTGCAGACTTGATGTTATGTGGATTCGAAACTTCTCATTCGCGTCGCGGGTCTGGCTGTCCGTGACTGGACAGCAACCCGGGCCAATGCCACAAGAACTGCTGCGATGAGAAGTAAAGAACAGAAGAGGACAAGGACGAGGACGTGAGACCGGGACCAAGACCAAGACTGGTGAATTTTATTCGATTCGCGCCTTGAAAACTCTCCAGGCGAATGATCGAGCTACCGTGACCAGTTTTTTAAAAGTAACGCCAAAGTTCTCCTGCCTTTTTCCTTTCATTTATTTACTCGATACGTATTTACTTTTTTCTTGCTCCCTGTACTATGAATAGCTACTGAATTTAAAGACTTTAATTTATCTATTTAGACATTTTTTATTAAACTATCCTAGGGTCATTTTATTTTCATGTTTAGAAAGTTCTTGAATTGAAATCATAAAAAATTGATTTCTATTCAAGATAAGTAGAACAATTTATGTGCATGTCTGAGTATCTATTGATACTTGACTAATCGTTCAATATTAGTATTATTTAATTGACATCCACGGATACTAATGTCTGGCGAATTACAAACTACTTGAAATTAAATATAGTTTGCTTTCTGCAAACTAAGAAGTCAAAAATATTTTTATTTTGATTATTAATTCATTGATAATTAATAATCAAGCATCAAAAAATGAATAATTCGAAATTTATTTTTACGAATAAAAATGAATGATACAATTATCTTGTTAATTGAAATTAAAATGAAAACCGAATCTTATGATATTCAATCAATTATTTTCTATTTTTTTTGTTTCTAAAAGCTTTTAAATTAATATTAACTATAACTTTGCTTGAAATATCCCAGCAAAAAATATTCAAAACATAAAAAACCGTGAAGAATAAATTTAAAATTGATAAAAAATTCATTTTTACACGCGAATTATATATAATTCTAAATTATTAAAATATAGAAAATTCAAATATAAAAACTCCCTATTTGTCCTGTCCATACTATTCAACATTAAAAAACATTTATAAAAAGAATTAATTTACGCCCATCTTCACTGTATTATTAATGAATAAGAAGCAATATAAATTATAAAAATGTATTTATAGACTCACCGAACTGGGTCGTCTCGCCAGATCACGAATTATTTAGTTCACGTGAATAATTAACAACACAGGAATAGTTTGAAGATGAAATGTAACGTGCATGTAATCCTTTATACACGTATATGAGTGCTCTAAAATAGCAGAGGTGTATAACCGCAATGAGCACGTGATTATATTACTTGATGTGTCAGGTATCTCCAGAAGTATCTTTCCTGGGTAGCATTGAAGCCAACTCGCACTGCAAACTCTTGGGTATATCCAGACTAAAAGCGTGTAAGTCGTGACGCAAAAGTCGTTTTATCGCTCTGAGGGAAATATCGCGTAGCGAATAGATGGGTAGTGTGATATGAACTTCAACCCTTGAAATGTGTTCAGGCAACTGATCTCGTGACATACCTAAGTACCGAGTGAACCAAGGCTGCGGGAAGAAAACGTCCTTACCCTCAGCTATAAATCTGAAAAAAATAAAATAAAAAAATAAAATACATATCAATGCTCAGTACTCACTGCGAGGTTTATGGCCAAAAAACAAAAATAATAATAATTTAAGACACTACATTTATTATGGTCATCAAATTGATTTGTTATTTAAACATAAAAAATGAATAAAAATTTTTTATTTCTTCCATTTCATTCATCGTAAAAGGAAAATGAGGTATTTTTCATGAAAGAAAAATATATCTATTTTATTGCTATGTGTAACAGCATAATAATTTAAGGAAAATTAATTTGATTTATTTACCTGTCTCTTGTTTCATGTTCGACAAATATCCATGGGTGAGTAGCAAATGTATTGATATCTAATGTACCCAGAGGTTGCAGGATACTATAACGCACAGCCTGTCCGTGGTAATTAATCCATAGAACATCAATCGGATATGGTGTTGTATTGATGAACCGTACGAATGCTTTGTGTCGATCTTCAATAGACCTCAGTATCTCCGGCTCATTTGTACCCATTTAATCACTTTAGATTATATATGATTTAAATTTGTTGATGTTGTTTTTTAATTTATTTTTGCTTTTACTTTTGCAGAAGCAGAACAAACAACACATGGATGTAGTTGTCATTCGAATATTTATTACAGACACTGTAACTATGGACTCTGAACTCTGGATGGCATCGATAAATCATCGGGATGAATAAATACCAAGAAGCTAAACAGTTTACCTGAAACATATTGAAAAGAATAAAAAATTTATAAATAAACAAAAAAAATAACTAAAAGTTTTATGTTTTTACTCGAGCTAAAATACAATCGTTTTATTTTTAACAATGTTATGTATTATATTTGCACAAAATGCGTGCTCTTCGGGGTGCAGCGTGCAACGAAACAAAAATTCTGCGTTAAAAGAGGGAGAGCGTTACCAATATTGAAAGCTAAGCTTTCATCGGCTTATGAAAAGGAGAACAGTTGGAAAAACGGTAAAACTCCATTACATTTTTTTTTGTTTTTATTTATTTATATAGTTATATATTTATTTTTATTTTTATTTTCATTATTTCGTTATGTCATTTTGTGAGAACGCCCACAGGGACTTTTGTAAAGCATAAATCTTCTTTACTGTACTTTTATTTGGGCTTCATATTTTTCTGTTTCTCATTTCCTGGTTTTCTACTCAACTCTGTAGTGAAAAGGCGTCCCACGAGAGTGAACAATAAATAGGCAGGACTGAATTACCTCAGGCAAAACAGCGGCCAAATAATGTAATTATTATATTTACTATAATATAACGAGAAAAATAATTAATAAACAATACTCCTACTGTAAAAGTTTTAATGAAAATTTTTTTAATGTATTAAGGGGGTATTCTGGTCTAGAAATTTAAAAAATTCGAATTTTTTTTTTTGCATATTTCCAAATTTTAGACCCTTAAAAATATGTCCTTAAGTGGATTTTTCAAAATTCGAATTATTTTCGGAGATACAGTGGATTTTGTGACGCAGCTGCTTCTGCTTCTGCTTTTTCAATAGAAGGCAGAACAGCTCGATTAGCAGAAAGAACTTCGTAAAACGTCGAGTAGGAAGTAGAAGAAGGCCCAATTTATGGATCTGGGATTCGCGATTAATCCAAAGTGAATATTAAATATTATTGTGAGTCATTTTACTGAAATTGTTTCTCAAACTTTAAGCGCGATTTTCTCGAAACTACTTTTTTTAAAGTGGTTGACATGATATCTTAAGTTCTACCCCACCGATTCCTTTGAAATTTAGTGGGAATTTGCTTTATATATCTCTCTATCGCGCCTGCTACGGATTTCGAAAAATTTCAATTTGGAGTATTTTTAAGAAATTCGAAAAGGTCAAAAAAAGGGGTAAAAAAAAATTGATATTTTATGTCGACGCCATTTTGTGAATTTTTTTTTTTTGCTATAGTCAACGCAATAGTGACATATTTACAGATTGAGAATTTGTCAATTTTTTTTTGTTTCATATCACTACAAGGGCTGGAATCATGTCAACCAGAGTGCACCGTTTTTTTTGTAGCCCCCACTTCACCGGCCTGTAATTTGTTAAATTTATCATTTTTTTTTTCAAATTTTTTTTTTATATTCTTGAAATGTCAATAAACATCATATAAAAAAACGGATAGTAAAAATGTTTTTCATTTTTTTTTATGTTAGTTTGAAAAATGCCTAAAATTTAGGCTTCTAGACCAGAATACCCCCTTAACTAAACAAAAGTGAATATTTAATGAAGAGGGGTTCTATTCACGACACAAGCATAAATAAATATGTTTCGATAAATAGAATCACGGGTATTGGGAATAAATAATGTTAAATTTCGTAAAATATAACAATGCATAAATGTAGATAGTGCTATTCTCAATAATGAGCGAAATAATATTGCAAAATATGATGAAGTTACAATTAGCTAACTATCCAATTAAATTAAAAATAATTATAATATTGTGATTTAATTAGCCAATTTTTTTTAAATTTAATTTAATAGAGTATCATTAATTGGAGGACCATGTACACTGGGGAAAAAATAATTTGATTAAAAAAAAAAATTCCTCAATCAAGAACATCATTTTAAAGAGCTTAATCATCTTGAATAAAGTGGAAAAATTATCCGATCAAGTGAAATTCATTTAAATCAAGAACAAGTTTTTTGTTCAAAAACTTTTCTACTTAATTTATGTCTCAAATAATTAAAGTCTCAATAAATGGATACGAAAGGTCACTATATTCAAATAAATTTGTTACAATTTATGAAAGAATTCTTAACAAAAACTAGTTTTAAATTGTTTTTGATAAAAGTTATAAATTTGTGGTAGCTCCTTGGCGCTAGTGGTCAAGACTAAAAATATAATTTTCCTTTATTTAAATGTGTACGTCCTTTTGGCTCGATTTTTTTTTTTTTTAGTTTAGTGTATCATGTAAGATTAACAAGTGCTTAAAAAAATATTGAAATAAAAATAGAAAACTAGGAAAACATTAACCCTCTCATGCAATGATTACGGAAACTTTAGCGTGTTGTGTATCTCGGCTCATACACTGTGAATTTTTAAAAGCCTCTCTGGTGAAATGGATAGTGTACACAGCTATCTGGCACATAGAGTGTTGGTGTTAGTGGTGACGGGGTGCGATTGCAATAATCGTGGCATCGCGGTTTTGCGCAGTAGTTTCCGGTAAAAGTTTAGTTTAGCTTGTTGTATTTCTCGCGCTGGAGGTTTTCATTACTAGAATTACACTCAAATATACGGATAAAGACCCGACCAGTAGGGTTGGTTATACCAGTACATAGTATATAGTATACAGCACAGTGCATATAATAATAACGGTTAATACTGGTGTGACGAAAACAGACCGACAGTGTTTAACAGTAAATGAGAGAAAGGTAAAATATAGAAAAGCTAGAGAGGCAAAATGCTCAAACAGCTAATAGCAAAGCGGATAAGGTATTTCATCATTGCGGTGGCGGTACAACAAACAAAAGCTATTCGGAATAATATGAAATCCACCCTGCTGTGTCTTTTGTCGTTTTCATACGCGGCCGTAATTAAAGCACGTGTATATTTGTCTCATGAATCACTAATTTATTTTGTAATCTAAAGCTCAAGGAGGGATTTTTATAACTAAGCTCCGCTAAAAAAGCTTTATTTGAATCTGTTAAGATTTATTCCCTGCAGAGAGATTGGATATTCGGAAATGGAAAAATGGATAACAATTGAAATGGAAAAAAAAATTTAAGCTATTTTATTCCTACTGTTTGTTAACTACAACTTGCTTTTTTCAGTGGGATATTAAAGTTTTTTTATGAGCGAAATTTGAGCTAATATAGGAGTGGTTGGATTTATTAAATGTAACTACTAGTTGTATAAAGACCCGAATTTATACTGGGGTTTTTAGATTGAACGCTTACAGCGAAAAAAAATCAATTACAGCTTTTATTATATCGTATTAAATTTTATAGCAGCTAAAAAGGTCAGGAATTAAGTTAAAAAATTAACTTGTAGATAGTTATAAAATGTTTAATGTGACCAATTTTATAATAACCCTAAATAATGTGTAGAGATTTTTAGAGATACTTTAATGTACTCTACATATTGTTATATCTTATATGCGCTAGAATAATCGTAAAAGAAAGAAATTACTGATTATTTTTTAAAGAATTAAATAGGTTTGAAACTTTCGAATAGGTTTCGAGATAATTGATAAATCTTCCCACTTTTTGATAGTTATTATCCGATTTCTATTGTGAAAAATTTAATTAAATTCCATTTGAAATAAACTTTTGAAGCAAGAAAATAATTTTCTTGGTTTAAACAAATTTTGTTTGATTCAAAAATTTTCGTCTCTAATCAATTTAATTTTTTTTTCAGTGTACTACTTTGAGTACTACAACATGAAACAATATAAATTCTGCAATTTTATAAACAAAAAAAAACGATTTCGAATAAAAAATAGTTATATTTGTGATAAATATTTGTTTTTCCAAGCGATATTTCTTCAGCAATATATTTCCTTGAGATTTATTTAGTAATTTATTGCGTTGTTATTTGACTTCGGAAAAATCGATGCTCTTACATTAGTTTCTTTCTTCGGGTGGTGTTAAATCGTGTAGATTAGCAAAAGTCATCCGACACCTTTACTTCTGACGCTCTCGACTTAAGCTTGGATGAACTCTCTAGCAGAGCGTTGTACTGTAATTCGTGCTGTAATCACGGGTCTGCGAAGCATCTTCGTTTCAGTGGTGGGCGTATTACGAGGAAACGAATTATACGGCAACTGCACACGTAACCATTTTCTCGTCTACTTTCTGGTGATTCATTTAAAAGACACTGACTATTTACGTGCACGAGCACACCCCACAGCAAGACTGAATCGTAAATAAAGATATTAAAGCACAATTAGTGTTGATAATTCGATGATTAAATGTTTTTATGCAACCAAATCTGCAAGAATTAGTACAGAAACAAGAGCACGAAAAAGAATGAGAAACAAATTTAATAATCTGATAATTAATAGACAAACTTTTCCTTTTAAAGTTTTAAGTGTAAGGAAATAAGAGAACATCCGTAATCATCATAATGTGGCTTCTCACTCCAACTCGTTCATGCTGCTCAGTTTCAATTATCGCTCCGCTAATTGGATTTTCCAAGGGAATTTTTATAGACGCAAGTATACAAGACACGGCGACGTTTAAAAAAAAACAGTTTTCCAACAAAACAAAAAAAAAACAAATTGTAAAATAAAACCTCATTCACAATTAGACTAATTTTTTATTAACTTTATTTATTCTTGTAGCTGAGTCCGAGTAGACTTTTCTTTTCCATCCGAAGTAGATAATTTGAATATACAATAACATCACATCGCAGCGTAAACTTTATTCATTAAAGTTGTAAAACAATTTTTATGGCTTCCATTTTAATCAGGCGTTGTTTATTGTAGCTGGCACATATTCCATCATACAGAAATCACAATAGAAGAAGTTAATCGAGGTTAAATAACAT